AGAGAGCAGGGAGGTCAGGATGCTGGGCCTGCAGGAGGATAGGAGGCCCGGGAGCAGAGCATGGGGCTGCTTAAGGCTGGACGCCAAGCAGAACAGACCCTGAGCTTCAGGGACCAGCCGGCCCCGCTGTCAGTGTGCAGACACTCCAGCAAGCGCCTTGGCCTAGTCCTGGCCTTGGGCCACTCACTTCCCCTCTCTATACATTTCCTCTATCTGGTGAGCTGGCAATCCTTCTTCAGAGATGCATGGAGGACCCTGTTCAGGGCTGGGCCTGTGGTGAGTGTCCAGGGAGCAGAAAACGACTCCCTGATCACACACGTCTCAGGTTCTGCCCAGACTTACTGCCATGAACAAGGACACCTATTCCTCCCAGCTGGACAGGAGGCCACTGAGGGTGGGCCCTCCAGGTATGGGCACTTCCACACAGCCTCTTCATCTAGGCATCAGAGCAAACCACCAGGGTGGAACCAGTTTCCTTCGGCTGCTGGCTGTTGGCCCAGAATGGGGGAAAAGGAGCAGGAAGTCCTGGCAGTCTGACCAGATGGGTCCCAAAACACACCCCCGAGGAGCAATGTGCCTCCGGACACCCAGGGAGGCAGTGCCATGTGCTGGGACGTGCCCTGAATTGGAATGAGGCAAGCCTGGGTTCAAATCCCTGCTCAGCCACCCCATGACCCTGGACAGGTCAGGGCACCTTTCTGAGTCTTGGTTTTCTCATTTGTTCAACGGGGAGAATAAGGCTCCTGCATGACACTGTCATTGGCCTGAGCCTGCAGTCAGGCCAGGCTCAGTACAAAGGCCCTTCCCTCGCTGTCCAGGCTGAGTCTGAACTTCTTCATTCTCCCAATGAGGATGTCCCAAAGAGAATGTCACAGTGTCCTGGACCAGACCCTGGGCACAAGAGTTCCTTGAGAGACCTTAGTAATCACCATGCAGCTGGCTCCCCAGAGTTACAAATGAATAAACTATCTAGAGAGGGAGAGGGAACTAACAACACCATAGAGCAGCAAATCAGAACCCTGAAGGCTCTGGGCTATCTCACTGTGTGGTCTTAGGTCCTTCTCTCTCTGGCCTCAGTTTCCCCAACTGTTCAGGAAAAACGGGCATTCTAGGACTCACTGCCCAAGCCTGACCCTCTGGGAGTGGTGTTGTCTCTGGAGAACCCGGTGCTGGAAGGACCAGCAAAGGGGGAATGAGCTCTCGGCCCCCAGATCTGCACCCTCAGAGCCAGGAGTTCAACCCTGGGCTTGGCATACCTCCAGATGACAGCCAACTCTCTGAGTGGCTGCTGCCCCCAGACACCTGGAAGACCACGAGCCTGCTTCACGCGTGGCCCCTGAGGCTGGGGGTCAGCCCTTCCGGCCCATATCAGCATTGCCATCTCTGCTGGCCAACCCTGCCTCCCTGGCCCTCTCCCCACCCTGGGTCCTCTTCAGCCTCTGCCCATTCGGTGCCCAGCACCCATTCCCTGCAACTCTTGCAGGCCTCCTCACCTCTGGCCTGGGGGGCGAGGCTGGGGCTGCCCGGGGCCTGGAGCAGCAGCAGCAGGCCGCAGAGCGTGAGGCTGGCACCAGGGATGACCCCCATGGTCCTGCAGCACAGGCAGCGGCTGGCTCGGTGGCGGGGGCCCGTGGGGGCCGGGTCTTATCAACCCTGCTGCCCGCCCAGCCTCCCAACCGGGCGGCCCCCCATGGCCGTGGGGCAGCCCAACCCGGCCCCTCGCACCCCTGGGGGCGGGGCTGGGCCTGAATGGAGGTGTGTGTGCCCGGAGAGGGAGGGAGTGCCTGGCCCTAGCTCCAGAGGCCCCTCCGACCACAAGGGCTCCTTTTCCTGCAGAAGCAACCAGAGCCGCAGCTGGAATTTGGGAAAGCTCAGGTGGGGGGCCTCCCCCAGCACCTGGAGCCCACGCTGACTGACCTGCCGCTCCACCGGCCGGCATACCTGAGTCCAGGGGCCATGCCCCAACCCTGCCCCGTTCCTCCCCTCTGCCCACACCCAGATCCTTCCCCACCGCAGTCCCAGCCCGGTGGTCTCATGAGGCACATGTCCCTACTGCAGCCTCGCTGTCCCTCCTTGCCACATCCACCCTGCTCTCCTGCCACCTCTGGCTTCTCCTCGGAGGCCACTGGGCCTTTGCATGTGCAGGGCCGCCTGCCTGGAATGCCCTCTCCTCTCACTAACTCTGCCTCACAGCATCTCTCCAGATCCTAGTTGGAGTCAATGTGTGTGTCCACTCTGGGATGTGCAGGGCAGCAGGGAAAGGGGCTGAGAGCACCAACTTGGGAGTCGGGTTACCTGGATTTGCTCTAACAGCTAATCGCCTGTGTGACCATGTGCAAGTTACTTCACTTCTCTGTGCCTCAGAGACCTCGCCCAGAAGCTGTGACGGTGACAGTGCCCACCTCCCGGGTTGATGCAAGGAGCAGAGGACTTACATGAAATGTCCCAGTTAATTGTCATGACTTTCCCGCAAGGTAGCTCCTGTCACCACCCTGTTTCCCAGATGGGGGACTCAAGCACAGAAAGCTCAAGCAACTGGTCTAGAGTCACACAGCTAAGATGTATCGTTGCCAGGACAGACCCCAGGCCCGTGCTCCCAGCTGCTTGCTCAAGTCACTTGGTGGAGGGGCCTTCTCTGGGCCGAGCTCCCCACCAGCCCCTCTCTGTGCTCCCCCACATGGCCTTTCCCAGCTGTGAGCCTGCAAGCATTTGATGGGTTCATCTCTGCACCTGTCTGTCATAGAAAAGGCCAAGGCTTGTAAATAAAGGGACAAACCCAGGAAAATGGTTCCTTTAGTGGCATTTGGGTCCAGTAGTCAAATAGGACAGAGCAGAAAGAGCATGGCTTGGCCATCTTAGAGAGCCAGGTTCAAAGCCACTTTTGCTGCTAACCAGCTGTGCGACCCAGAGCTTAACCTCTCTGAGCCTCAGTCGTCATCGGGCTACGTTAATGGTAATGCTTGGCCCGCATCCCTCCCTGAGACCACATGAGGGGCAATGAAGTGGAGACGGGGTCAAAGGGCCATCATCTTTCCAAGGGCAGAATCGCAACACTCAGGACCCAAGCACTTCACTCTGTAGATCCAATCTCAGTGAAGGGAGATGCACGGTTTTTAAGAAGTGATTCCCGGGCACAGCAGACACAGCCCACAGCTCTCACTCTTCAGCAGCAATTATGACAACAAGCCCTTCCACACCTGGCATGGCAAAGTCGCTCGCCCTATCATTCTGCCTCCTTTGTTCTCCAACAAACCTGAAAGGTCAGCAGATTCTAATGTATTCGCCCATTTGTCAGGTGGAGAAACTGAGACCCAGGGAGGCTCCCTGACTTGCCCAAAGGCACCCACCAGCGGAGGGGCAGAGCCAAGCCTGGGTCTCAGGTCTTGTTCCTCTCTCACCAGAGTTAGGGGAGAGGATGTTGAGAGCACTTCCCTCTGACGTTTCCCGTGTAAGTTTTGAGTATGCCTAATTCTCAGCCCTCTCCCATTCCAGAAACCGGCTCAGCCCGCTGACCCCTTGACCCTCTGCAGCTGTGTCACTGTCTTCCCCAGAGCTGAGGCAGATGTGGAGACGAGGGCACGTAGCCCTTCCCAAGACCATGTTGTGAAGGTGCTACCCATCTCCCACAGAGCAGGGGCCTTGCCTGTCTCCGTTCCCTGACCCTGCAACCCTGCTGGGTGCCTGAACAGACAGCAAATGAAGGAAAGAATGAAAAGAAGAAACAAATGACCGGTGGGTTTCCAATCCCCGTCAACCCTCAAGGGTCACACGAGCGCCAGCGTCAACGAGAGAAGTGCAGCACTACCCCGCGCCCTGCTGGAGTGCCCGAGTGAAACATGAGCTGGAGTCTCACGTGGGGGGGGGGCCCTCCCTGATGACCAGGCCATGCTGGGGCTGGGGTACAAAGCCCTGTTGCAGGCGGCAGCTGGGCCCATGAACTGGCTCTTTCAGCCCTGTCTCTGAATGGTGGTCCTGTGGGCCCTTGGAGGAACACCGGCGCCTTCTCCAGGGCGCTTCCCCCTCATTAGCAGAGCCGCAGAAATACGCTGCCACGTTTCGGAAGCAAAGCCGGTCCCCAGAAGAGGACAGCTCTCACATTCCATCGCAGGGGCAAGGGCCGGGGTGGGGAGGAGTCCAGCATATACATTGAGGCAGAAAATAAATATTTGTGTTTTTAGAATGTGAAACGTTTTTCCCCAGGACTTGAAAAAAATCAGGAACAGTGTGGCCGGTATCTGCCAGAGGGAAGGAAAAAGTGCATGGAGGGGCCTTCAAGGCTGCTCGCAAGTTGAGCAGGCAGCTGTGAAGGGCTCCTGCTGTTTCCTCGCCCTGTTTCTTGCCCTTCGTACCCCTTGGAGTTCCAGAAACTTAAAGTCTTTATTTAGTGTGGTGTGCAAGAGAGAGCCTTTGTGAAAAATTGAGAGGCCCCCGGGTAGGGTGGTTCAATGGAAAGTGCTCAGGACTCCCACTCCAGTGCTCCCAGGCCCAGTGCTTTCCCCAGGGAGCAAACCTGGCTACCTCGTGCTCCTTTGACGGGAGATGCAGCATCATCTGGGGCAGCTCACACCGCTCGTCCTTGGCCCAACAGCATCATAGAATCAGAGGTGCTGTATCCACATACACCTCGTACATTTACTGCTGTTGATTCAGGATCTCTTTAATTCACTCTGAACCAGCTCACTTTTATAAAATGTCTCCCCCTCCTAAGAAATAATAGCCGTGAAATCACTGGTTTGATGCACAGTTGTTATATTTATTCCAATAAATATTCATTCAATACGAAATTCAAACACATTCAAAGCTAATTAAATTCAGCCTTTTCATCCACATATTACCAACAATTATCTTGCGTTCCACCAGTGGCATGTGTGCCAGACTTTGAGGCATCCTGGGAAGCGAGAAAGCTTTAGAAGCAGGCAGAGCTGGGCTTGCGGCCCTGTCTGTCATGGGCCAGCTGTGGTGACTTTCAGTCTGTCCCTTCCTTGTCTGTGTGTTCATCTCCTGTTTGTAAAATTGGGATCCTGATGCCAATGTCACTGGATGGCTGTGAGGAAGAGACGCAGTGACTGCGACATCACTGCCCATTGTGTTCACGGTGCCTTCTCGCGTCAGTCAGGATGGGCCGGACTACACCACAGTAACAAACAAACCCCTAGTCCTAGTGGCTCAACACAGGGTTTGTTTCTCTGTCTTGTGGCTCAGTCCAGAGCCAGGCAGGTGCCCCCTGCACAGGCCCCTCCAAAGCTGCTCCATCTCACTCTCCCACCACCACGTCCTTTGTCTCTAGCCACATGGACCAGAGAGAGATGGCGCGTGTGTCTCTTGACTGCCTCAGACAGAGAGTGTGCGACACCTGACTCTACCTGAATGCCCAGGGATGGGACGAGGATATTTAGTGAGCAGGGACAGTCTCTGTCACCCTTTCCAGATGAAAAAACTAAAACTGTATCACCTTAGATCAAAATCCAAGTTCAACTGTTAAGGCTCTTCACAGTCTGTCTCCTTCTGCCTTTTCCAGGTACTCAGTCTCTTTCCCCTTCCCTCCGTTTTTCCCTCCCTCCATCCTCCTCTCTGCCACAGAATGAGTCACTCCCTGCTTGTCTTCTGACACGAACCTCAAGGGCAGACTCCACCCTTCTAGCATATTATCAACCTTCATGCTCAACAAATGGCAACTGCTTTTACTTGAGGGAAATGTAAACCCTAGACGCTCAGGCTCTGAAGCAAACTCTGAAGACATCCATACCTGCACGTCCAGAGAGGCTGGTAAAAACACAGGCTTCAGCCATGCTGGATACCTTCTTCACCCTACAGGGAATGACCTCTCTACAGCCCATCACAGTGGGGACAAACGAGCATCCGAGTCAGCACTGGGGCCCACCCCATGGCCCTGCAGCCCATGCTGGGGTCAGTTCACCAGCAGCTGCAGCAGGTGGCTCCCACAGACCCAGACAGAGAGCCAGGTGGCCTGGGGACCTGACATCACCATCGGGGACAGGAACTGTGGACAAAGACTTGCTTCCCCATCTGGCACTGGTCATCTCTGAGGTGCGCCCAGAAGGTCCCCGCAGGAGCGAGCCCCAGTTGCCCACAGAGTTGACCTGCTTATCAGTGCACCTTTTATTGACTTTTCCCGTCCCAGTACTTAGTGTCTGTGTTTAGCTTTTAGTCTGCTTCTCCTCTCACTGTGTCTCCAAGGATCAAATAATCCAGCTGCACCCAATTCCTTGTCTCACAACAGCTTTGGGGGATCTTACCCACACCCAAGGGGAGAGAATTAGACAAAGCACAGGTCAGTGAGGCTATCTTGGAATTCTGTCTCCCTCGGGTGGTATATGTGGGTGTAGAATGAGGAAGGAGGGAGAAAAGCAGCTCACTGGCTAGGAAGGCCAAGTGTACCTCCCATGGATTTGGACAGGCATACCCTCAGACCCTACCCTGGGCAGAGCGGGTTGGTGGGAAAGGCCCCATGGAGCTGAGGCCTGGCAGCAAGGCCCAGCCCTGTTTTGACACAGCGAGTAACTGTGGGCAACTAAGGAATGTTGCGATGTCAACCTTGTTCCCTCTACAGCCTTTGTAAGGATGTCCAACCCCAGAAAAATGCCAATCCTCC